CCAGAATGCACCTGAAGATGGAGCCGGACTCCAGGCACCCCCTCTACAGCCCACCCCTGGGGCCCGGCCTGCTGGGGGCCCACCCCAGGCCCAGCAGGGAGCTGGCCCCGTTGCCCCCCGCACACTGCGCCTGCCTGGAGCCTCCGCCCCGCCTCTGTGCTGGGGGCCACCAACCCCCCAGCCTGGGCTGTGACTGCCAGGCTCCCGGGCCTGCGCCCGTAGTCAAGCTCGAGCCCCTGGACTCGCCCCCGTGGGCCGCTCACAGCCAGGGTGGGGCGCCCGGGATGCTCCCCAGGAGTGCCTTGGCGACACGGATGCCACCCAGAGACCCCGAGTGCACGTTCCTGCCGTAGAGCAGGCGTCTGCAAAGGCTGACGTCCGTCCCTCGGCTGGCTGGGATGGCAGTGCAGGGGCAGAGACTTTCCTGAGGGAGGCGCGTGCAATAGCAAATCCTGTATCTCGTCCAGCGCCACTGAAGTTCTTAAATGCAGGGTGGTCTGAAGTCTGCTCAAGTGTGACAGTACTGCCCTCTAAGGGGACACGGTTTCTCAGAAAGAGGCCGGGGTGAGCTGGGCCGCCTGGCCGGGCAGCACTCGGCTCCCCGAGAGGCGCAGCAAGCGAGGGCAGGTGACCGGCGACCTGGCCCGACCGCAGCGCCCAGCGCCCCCACTTCCCGGCTTCCCCGACGCCGCCTCCGGCGAGGGGACCTCGGGGAGCAGCCTCACCCTGGGGGTCCCACTGCCGAGACAGCAAGTTGGGAATCAAGCTTATTGAGCGGCAGGTGACCACTTGCCCGATCCTGGGCAGAGTCCAGAAGTTCCAGGCGGAAGAGGCTGTCAGCACCGGGCCGGCACTTCCCCACGACGACGTGCGTGTGCCTGAGGCGCTGGCACAGGCTGAGGCCGGCCCGGGGGAGGATTGGCTGGATCCCACCCTGTTCCTCCTTCCGCGAGCGTCTCCGGTGTTGTCAGGGGGCCCCTGAAGGCGGTTCTTGCTCATCTGCCTCTCACCGCATCACGCAACCTAGTTTACAGGGTCTGGATTTGCAAGTCTGGGGGAGTACGAGATGCAGGGAGAGAAACGAGTTAGTCCAGCTGTCGGCTTGCTGACTCTCTAGAGGTTTTTAAATGAGATGCCAATCATCATCCCAGGAGGAGCTATTAGACACAAGACAGACAGGTAATGCTTTATAAAAACGAAAAAATGGTGGGGACTTCCCTGGCGGTGCAGTGGTTACGGCTCCGCGCTTCAAATGCAGGGGCGCAGGTTCGGTCCCTGGTCGGGGAACAGAAGAAATTTTGGCTTGTGAGTGGCAGGGAGCAACAAAAAAAAAAAAAAAAAAGAAAAAAGAAAAAGAAAAAATTGTGAAGGTAACACATTCTGAACGCAGGAAATTAGGATGCAAAAGAATAAATCGGAAAGTGCAGGTCACCTGCAATCACCAGGTGTGGCTCGTGGCTCGTGTCTCAGGGCGCAGTTCACCGCGCCTTCCGGGGTGACCCCACGTCACGGGTGCAGTTAGTACGGGACACGACACCAGGGGACGACATCACCACCGAGCAGGAGGGAGCTGGTCGGAGACCCCCCTGTGCTGCGGTTGGAGACCCTCCTTACGGATGTGACCACCCGCCCCGCCACGGGAGGCTTGGGACGGGCAGGGGCCGCTTGCAGCCCCGCCACGTTCAGCGGGGGGTCCTTCTGTCCGGCATCTGTGGCTTTGGGGTGTCAGTGTTCAGCTCCTGTGTTCATGCTGAAGCTGTTTGCTAAATGCATCGTCCCCCTGCCAGACTCAGGACTGGGCTGGCGGGACTGGGCCTTCTGACGCTTAGGCAGCTGCCTGCTTCATGGAGGGGCTTCCCCTGGGGGGCGTGGTGGGAGCTGAAGGTCTCTCCCTGGACTGACAGAGGTTACTCGTTGGAGCCCAGGGTCGGGAGTCATCAATTTGTGGCCTCCTGGGATCCCCGAGCCCTGCCCAGCAGCCTGCTCATCTCTGCCCAGCCCCCGGGGGCCTTGCAAAAGTGACATCGGTGCTGTGCTGTACCCCCCTCCCTCGCCGGAGTCTCCCCCTCCCCGTCACAATGGCAGCCAGGCCGCCAATCGGGACCACCTGCTTCCCACCCTCGCCCCCCGCTGGCTCAGCATTCCCTCTCTACTTCGTTCTCACGCTGAGCCCAGCACACCTGATAGACTTCATCCCTAAGACAAGGGGTGGAATATCAGAAACCTCCTCCTTCCTTTCTATTCACGCCAAGTGCCCAGCTCCTCGCGGGCAGCCCTGCACCGTCTCTCAGAAGTAACTGTCAGCCTCTCTGGAGCTCCCTCTGTGCAATGTCACCCTCGGCACAGGGGTGGGTCCTGGGATGCACTTGGGCACCCCTCAGTGTGACGCCTGCCCTTCCCGTCTCAGGGTACAGCAGACAGGTGCGCTGCACGCGCGTAACACGTCAGCGGGAAAACCCTGGACCAAAAAGATGGAATTGAGAGACGCCATTGCATGTCTGCACACTGTAGCCAGATCCCAGTGTAACCAAAGAAGAGCTGCAGGCAGAAGGACATTCAGCTGTCCCTGCCCATGAGGGCCACGGTGCCCAAACGTTTCAGAGGCACCCACTCTCCCGGGACCAAGTGCACCAAATTGGTCACGGTTGGTGGGCGGACAAGTCGCGTTGCCGATGCAGAATTCAGCATCTGGACATCAGCGCTGCAGGTCTTGCGTTCTGGAGAGGCCATCATGCTCGGGGCCCAGGTCCTGACATGCTAGGACGGTGGGAGCAAAACGTCTCTCAGGGCTTGCCTGGCGGCGCAGTGGTTGAGAGTCCGCCTGCCGATGCAGGGGGCGCGGGTTCGTGCCCCGGTCCGGGAAGATCCCACATGCCGCGGAGCGGCTGGGCCCGTGAGCCATGGCCGCTGAGCCTGCGCATCCGGAGCCTGTGCTCCGCAGCGGGAGAGGCCACAGCAGCGAGAGGCCCGCGTACCGCAAAAAAAACCAAAAAAACCAAAAACGTCCCTCAGTCAGCACCTTTGTTATTTTCCAGCCATGCCCCTGCTGAAAAATCGTGTGGGGAAGGTGAGGATGGAATGTAGAAGGTCAGGTGTGGCCAGTCCTGCTTTAAAATGTCATTACAGTGCTAATTACGGGCTTGTATTTTCTGTTGTCTGTAGCTTTTGTCTATATAGCTGAAAAATATTAAAATCAAATACGATGTAGGAATGGGGTGGAAGGGAGGAGATAAACACAAATTATATTTTATATTTTTGCAGTTTCTACTGGATGAAAAAAGTTTTCAATATCTAGACTGACTTGTTGAATGTTTCAAAATGGATACACTATAATATAACTATTTGTACTGTTTTCTCAGTGCCTTTAGAAAGCTTTCAAACACATTTCCGATACTGTGGTTTGTATTAAATTTGCAATATTGATGTAAAATAAATCATACATGTTAGCACATGTTTACTGTAAATGGAAACGTCTACTTGATTTTCCAAATTTATTTCCTGTAAAGCGTGTGTGACTTATATTCTAAGACAGTCCTTCACCACCGGATACGAGGCGGTGATAAAAGCACAGGTGGAGCCGGGGCCAAAGGAGGAACGCCGGTGGCCGCTTTCTCAGCGTTCCCTCCCTTTCCCCCCCAGCCGTCACTGAGGGTTGGGGGGGACCATCCCAGGTGTCTTGAGGACACCCCAGACTCAAGCTCTCCTGCGAGGAGCAGACTCCTGGCCCCATGTCATGTGTGTGGTGGGGTCGGCCTCGCCCCGCCCAGGACCTGGTGACGGGTGTGTGTGGGCAGGGCTGGGAGGTCACCAGGGCCCAGGCGGAGACTCCTCCCAAGGCCCAGGGAGCCGTGTTTTCATTTCCTTTCTTTGGTCAAGGAGCACCCCCAAACTATACAAGCGTCAAGTGCCCAGTACAGAGCTTGGATCTGCCCCTGCTGCAGCAGTCGCACCCTGGCCAGGCCCCCTTCCTGCGTCCTGCAGGCCACCACCCCAGTCTCTACTCTGTGACTCCCTGTCCCTCCTGGGGAGACCAGGCCAACCTGCCCCCACCAGCTGGGTCTAAGCCAGCTGCTCCCCGTCCCAGGAGGCCACCTGCCCAGCTTGCCGTCCCCCACACCTTCCCCCCACCTGTGATCTTCAGACTCACGGCGTTGAGACCTGGGGCTGGACAACCCTCATGTTCACGCCGTCACGTGACTCTCCCACCACCTAGCCTGCTGCTGCGGTGGATTTGTGGGTTGTTCCAAGACTCCTACGTGCCCAGTGGCTGCCCCCCGCCCCCGCCCAGTGCGCCTCCGCGGGACGGAGGACACACCTGAGGGTGCTCATGGCTCACACCTCACCAGGGGCTGCCCAGGCGTCCTCCAAAGGTGTCCTGCCACAGGCAGCTGTCACAGCCCGTCCGGGCCGCTGGAACGAAGATACCAGAGGCTGGGTGGCTTGTCAACAACAGACACGTATTCCTTACGGCTCTGGAGGCTGCAGGCCTGAGGCCTGGCTGCGGTGGCAGTGGGGTCTGGCGCAGGCCAGCTTCCAGGTTGCTGACTGCTCGCTGTGTCCTCGCCGGTGGGAGGGGCGTGGGAGTTTTGTGAGGTCTCTCTGAAGGGGACTGGTCCCATTCTCACGGCCTAGTCACCCCCCCCCCACAAGACCCACCTCTTAACACCATCACCTTGAGGGTCGGTTTAGCATGTGAGATCTGGGGGGACACAGCATTCAGCCCGTAGCAGCGTCCCACCGGCGCCCACTGGGGTCTCACCTCCCCACCGATTTGGTACCGTCAGACGTTTTAGCTCCATCTCTCTGCGGGGCGAGGTGGCAGCAGTTGTTTTATGTGCATTTCCCTCCCTCCTTCACTCAGCTGGTTGTTGAACCCCTGCTGAAGACCAGGCCCTGTGACAGTGCCGGGGACACATTGGGGAAGAAAAGATGCAGAAATCATGCTGCTGACATCCCTGTGCATGTGGACAGGGGACAGAGTGCAGAGAAGTGACCAAAGAACCGTGTAAGTTCTGTGATGCATCGGGAGGCGACGGGTGCTGCGCAGATGGGTCAGCTGGCATCCTGTAGCCCAGGCGGCAGTTCTGTGGGCTGGGCAGACTTCGAGCCAAGACTTGACGGGAACAGTGTCCAGGGTAGGGGTGGAGGAGCCTTACGGGCTGGAGCGAGAGGGTGGGATGAGGTCAGGCAGGGGCAGCGGGTCACAGGCAGGTCTGAGGGAGGGGAGCACGGCAGGGCTTCCGGTGAAAGCGACCCTGGGCCGCCGTTTGGAGGCCGCGTCGGCTGCAGGGCAGGAGAGGGGCCGCACGGCCCCGCTAAGGACCATGACGGTGCTGGGAGGCAGCCCCGCCCTGGTTTCCTCCCTGGCGCGCGCTGGCTCCTCCTCTACTGTCTGTGCTGCACTTGTTTGCCGTTTTTGGTGAATTGTGGGCGTCATTTTAAAATTCAGGATGGTAATGCTTCGTCAAAGATTTTCTCTCAGTCTATGGCTTGTCTTTTAAGAATTAAAAAAAAAAATACAAGGGTTTAAAATCTTAGCATGGCAAACTATCTTTTTCTTTATGGTTTATGTGTTTTGTATCTTAAGAAAATGACTCCCTCTGACCCTGCCTTTGATATAAAGCTCATTTTGTCTGGTATTAATATTGCCACACCAGCTTTCTCGGGCCTGGACTAGCTGGCGTGCAAACCTCCTCCACACCTAACCATCCTGTTCCTTTATGTTCTAGATATTTTTCTCATAAATAGCTGGTTGGTTTAAAATCCATTTTACTCGTGTTCTTTTTTCCTTTTTCCCGGCTGTGTGGGGTCTTCGTTGATGCGCGCGGGCTTTCTCTAGTTGTGGCGAGTGGGGGCTACTCTTCGTTGCGGTGCACAGGCTTCTCGTTGTGGTGGCTTCTAGGCCCGCGGGCTTCAGTAGTTGTGGCTCATGTGCTCTAGAGCGCAGGCTCAGTAGTTGTGGTGCATGGGCTCAGTAGTTGTGGCACGTGGGCTCAGTAGTTGTGGCATGCAAGCTCAGTAGTTGTGGCACGTGGGCTTAGTTGCTCCTTGGCATGTGGAATCTTCCCGGACCAGGGCTCGAATCCATGTCCCCTGCACTGGCAGGCGGATTCTTAACCGCTGCACCACCAGGGAAGCCCCACTTGCTTGTGTTCTGATAACTGATGTATCTGAACATATCTGTACTCCTTGTGTTTCTAGTTACATATGATCCTTTGGCTTTTCTCTTCCTAGTGTCCCTGTGGGATTGCTTGCACTTTCTTTTCATACTTAACAAAGTCTAAACTAGAGCTTATCAAGACCTCTGTTCTCTCAGGACGCTTTGGAAGCAAACCACCTGGCTCCTTTCTTTACTCCTGCCAAGGTTGGAGGGCCTCTCTAAAAACGCTCCTGGTTTGCTTCTGCTGAGCAGTGAGTTTCAGTGAGAGCTTCTAGGCTGAGGAGGACACCAAACCCAAGTGTAGCGCAGGCCCCTAGCTATGTGTTCTTGGGGGGGCCTTTCCTGACCCGGGGATCCCAGTACCTGGGAAGTATGGCTTTTTGGGGTTTTGTCGTTTGTTTTCCCTGGTCCACTCTTGCACTGAGGATGATCAAACCGCCTTTACAGTTAGAATTTCAAACATAATTTTAACTTTTGTTTACATTCTTCATTTCTCAGCTTGGTGCTATATTTTCATAAATTACTAAGTGCAGATGACATAATAGAGGGATCAGCCATCGGAGTCAGTACGGTGCTTAAGTCCTGGCCCTTGGAACGTGATCCGCTAACCAGCTGACTGGTAATTTTTGGTGTACGTGGCCACAGCAACGGGGGGCTCACACAGCTCCACCTTCCTGCCCCCGTGTGCCTGTGTGTGCTCACGCGGGTGTGGTGTGTGTGTGTACGTTTATGGCGTGTGTGCGTGGCGTGTGCGTATGTTGTGTGGCATGTCTGTATGTGGTATGTGTCTGTGCGGTGTGTGTCTGTTGTGTGTGCTGTGTCTATACGGGTGGTGCGTGTCTTTGGGTGTGGTGTGCAAGTGTTTGGTGTGTCCACACGTGCGTGTCTGTGTCTGTCTGTGGCGTGTGCCTGTGGTATGTGTTTACGTGCGTGCGGTGTGCGTGCGCTCGCGCCCTCCCGCGCCGCGCCGCAGCCCCGCTCTGCTCCCTCCTGGTCGCGCGGTCTCCACCACTCTGGGCGGCACCCGTCGGCAGCCAGCTCGCCGGGTCACTCCTCCCGCGCGCCGGGCACGCAGCGCCGGGACCGCCCAGACCCAACCCTTCCAGCCGCGAGGCCGGAAGCGGAAGTGCCTGCCGGCCGCTCACTTCCGGGCGGCGGCGGCGGCGGCGGCGGCGGCGGCGGCGCCCGAGTTCCCCGTAGGGCCCCGCCTCGGAGCGGGCGGCGGTGGAGGAGGAGACTGAGGAGCAGGATGGCGGCCTCGGCCCTGTACGCCTGCACGGCGGCGGCGGCGGCGGCGGCGGCAGCGGCACGCACGGTGAGGTGTCTGCGGTAGGGCGGTCTCCGGGCGGTGGTCGCGGCCGGGGACGCCGCCCGCTGTCCCTTCCCCGGGCCCCGGCGGGTGCGGGCGCGGCCGGGAGGCGGTGCGGGTGGCAGTGGGGTCCCGGGGGCGGGCTCTCGTCCGCGAAGGGGCGGACGACGCGCCGCGCGAGGAGGGAGGAAGCAGGTGCAGAGCTGCGCGCGCGGGTGGGGGGCGGGGAGACGCGCGGCCGCCCCGGGTGTCCGGCCCTGTGCGCGGGCCTGGGATCAGGAAGGGGGGCGAGGAGGGACGGCGCCGCAGCCCCGCTCCGTGGGCGCGCACGAAAGGCACTCGTGTCCAGGGCCCTCGGGGGTCTGCGCGGACTTGGGTGGTGCTCTGAAAGCGTGTGAGGAGAGGTGACAAATGTCTGAGAATTTTGCTCAGGAAACAGGCATGGAGACGGGCGGCTAATAGCTGAAGGCAGTCCACCTCTGCCAGACGCTCACCAGGTGTCCCCTAGTTCCGTGGCTGGGATGTTGGTGGAGCTGGCGCTGAAGGCAGGTGTGCTTGGTGTCCAGGCACCTGTGCCCCGTGCCCTGCACCTGAGCAGAGTGCCTTCTGCCCTCTCACCTTTGTTGACTAGGGCTGTTAAGCAGTAGGAAATGGAATTTGGGGTACTGCAGACAGTGATTTTTGAGGGAAATGGTAGGACGGGTGCTGGAACCTCAGCTAGGGAGGGTAAAGTGCGTGCTGTCCCTGTGCCTCCACGTGTTCACGAGGTGTCCCGGCGCGGCCCCCGCCCCCGTCCCCCGGTGTGTGAGGGCTCTGGAAATGGGAAATTGGCCCTATCTGGGGCAGAGGAGTGCCCTGGAGACTGACATCTGATACGATGAGTAGTCTGGGGCCCCCGTAGAGGCCTCGTCTGTATGTCAGTGTCTTATACCTGTAATCGCCCCTGCTCCGCTTAAAGGTAAAACTGTGTTCTGAAGGTTTGTATTGCTTATCGAGGAGTTCATAATCCTAGTTCAAGTTTCTTTCAGGTTTACTGGGTTAATGATCTCGAATGCTCTCATTAGAGCCCCGCTGTGAACAGCACTGTTGGTGGAGGGGGGTAGGTTTTGCTGCTAACATTTCTACCCCCCTAACACATCTTCCGCCTCCTATTCCCTCTCTGCCTATGGACACAGGATGCCTCTAGCATGACAGGCGCAGAGATTCTGCCAGCTTTGTAGCCATGAAGGAGACGGACCGGGAGGCTGTTGCGACAGCGGTCCAGAGGGTTGCTGGGATGCTTCAGCGCCCGGACCAGCTGGACAAGGTGGAGCAGTATCGCCGAAGAGAGGCCCGGAAGAAGGCCTCTGTGGAGGCCAGATTGAAGGTATGAGGCCAGAGTGGCCACAGGCACCTGCTTCACTCCCGGGCGGCACACAGGCTTTTATCTCAAGTTTCTGGTTTCCTGCTTAACACTGGACTTTGTGATGATGTGGAAGGGGGCAGCCTTGAACGTACCTTGACTTAGCACGTTCCTTCCAACAATATCCTGCCAATCAGTAGATTGACAAACAAGACTGGGGGAATGTTGAAAACACCAAAGGAACAACCTTTTTGAGCACCCAGCAATGTCCATTTAACTTTTTAAAAAACACTAGAAGAATAACAGCTTGTCTTCTTTATTAAAAGCTTTTCTACAGGGTGTATCCAGAGAGCATTTTGTTTGGCTCATTCTGGCGCCTGCGGTAGTAGGCTGACTGCGCACCGGGCGTGCTGCTGGCCCTGGGGCAGGAAGGAGAGCTCAACACGTTTGTTAGTGTGTGTGGGAGAGCGAGGCAAGAAGGAAACCCGATCTTGTGCGATTTGGATTGGCTGTCAACTCAGTTCACACGGAGAGAGGAGGTTTTATTAAAATTACGCACACTTGGTGTAGTTGTAAAAACGTTGAGACCGTGGCCTGCTGCAGTTGACTGGCAGCACAGCGGTCTTGAGGACTCGAGAGCGCATTTTAGGTCTCATGCTCACAGGGCAGTGAGGTCACCTCTCCAGTCGAAAACATTAGCGTCCAGGTAAGTGCAGGTTTGTTGAGACAGGATGAGGCTCATTCATTTGCACCAGCGAAGCAGCCAAAGACCTGTTGGACTAATTTGAAACAGTTTCATGTCAATTTAAAAAATGGTTTAGGGCTTCCCTGGTGGCACAGTGGTTAAGAATCTGCCTGTCAACGCAGGGGACACGGGTTCGATCCCTGGTCCGGGAAGATCCCACGTGCTGCAGAGCCACTAAGCCCGTGCGCCACAACTCCTGAACCTGTGCTCTAGAGCTGCGAGCCACAACTACTGAAGCCCGTGCGCCTAGAGCCTGTGCTCCACAAGAGAAGACACTGCAGTGAGAAGCCCACGCACTGCAACGAAGAGTAGCCCCTGCTCGCCGCAGCTAGAAGAAAGCCCACGTAGAGCAACGAAGACCCAATGCAGCCAAAAAAAAAAAAAAAAAACAAAGGAAAAATAAATAGTTTAGACCTGCTACGTTTTTATTCAGAATTTTATTTTATTTTATTTTTTATCTTTTAATTTTTTTTGCAGTACGCGGACCCCTCACTGCTGCGGCCTCTCCCGTTGCGGAGCACAGGCTCCGGACGCGCAGGCCCAGCGGCCATGGCCCACGGGCCCAGCCGCCCCGCGGCACGTGGGACCCTCCCGGACCGGAGCACGAACCCGTGTCCCCTGCATCAGCAGGTGGACTCTCAACCACTGCGCCACCAGGGAAGCCCTATTTTATTTTATTTCAAATTTATTTTTGGCTGTGTTGGGTCTTTGTTGCTGCACACGGGCTTTCTTCTAGTTGCGGCAAGTGGGGGCTACTCTTCCTTGCGGTGCGTGGGCTTTTCATGGCAGTGGCTTCTCTTATTGTGGAGCACGGGCTCTAGGCACGGGGGCTTCAGTAGTTGTGGCTCTTGGGCTCCAGAGCGCAGGCTCAGCAGTTGTGGCGCTCAGGCTTAGCTGCTCCGCGGCATGTGGGATCTTCCCGGAGCAGGGCTCGAACCCCTATCCCTTGCATTGGCAGGCGGATTCTTAACCACTGCGCCACCAGGGAAGCCCTTATTTAGAATTTTAATCTGTTCTAGGAACTTGTGGGATTAGCTAACAGTTGTTGTGTTTTGTTGAAATCGTGAACTATTTCTAAACGCTACTTAGTGTTTCATGGGTGAAAGGTATTCCTGGGCACCGTTGTGCTCCCTGGCCTTTCCCTTCCTTTTCCCGTCCACCTGCTGCTCCTTCACGCCCTCTCCATTCTGACTGTACGGCTCACTGGGTGGCATTGCCACGGGCTCTCAGAGTGAGTCTGAATCTCAGATGCACCAGCTCTGCGTCGTGGGGCCGGCCGTCCTGGAGCGGAGTCTGGTTCTGGCCGAATGGCAGGAAAACCCTCTCCGCTCAAGCTGATGAGCAAGTCCTGACGGTCTCTCCATCTAGTGAAGGCCTGTTAGGAAGCTGAGGGGTGCCTGAGAGGTGGTGTGTAGAGTCCTTCTAAGGGCACCACTTAGGGGCGGCCCTGGGACTCGGGGTATTCCCATGGTGGAGTCTGGCGTTTTCAGGTCAAGGGGCTGGATGAGGGGTGTTGTGAGGTTTTCTCAACAGAGCTTTAAAAACGTTGTTTTGTTCTAAGAAGCGATGGAAAAAAGGAAAAGCCACCTTATGAATCAGTGGAATCCTTGTTGCATTTTGTCGTCTTGTCTGTGGGCATTGACTGTTCTCTACTACTGAAACGCCTCTTTTCTACACTCTGAGCCTCCTGGGGAAGGTCTGCTCGTGGCCGTCCCAGCTCTGCTCACCCACCCAGTGTCTTCCCTAGGCCGCGATCCAGTCGCAGTTGGACGGCGTGCGCACGGGCCTCAGCCAGCTCCACAGCGCGCTGAGCGACGTCAAGGACATCCAGCGGTCCCTGGCCGACGTCAGCAAGGACTGGAGGCAGAGCATCAACACCGTCGAGAGCCTCAAGGCTGTGAAGGACGCCGTCGTGCGGCACAGCCAGCTCGCCGCCGCCGTGGAGAACCTCAAGAACATCTTCTCAGGTAGCCGGGCCGCGGCCGCGCGCTCTCCCACGACTCACGTGTGTGATTCCTTGCCCTGTGGGTGCTGCAGGGCAGTTGCAGCTGTCGTCGCCCTGCTCAGAGGTGTGATTTCTGCCTGCACAGTTGGGTTCTTATTTTGAACACAGGCGGATGGTCAGTTGAGCAAGTAAAGGCTGGTAGAACGTTTGTGGTTCTGAAATGGTCAGGACAGGCACAGAAACGGGTAACCGAGCAAGCGCTGCGTGAGCGTTCTTCCCTCAGCGGCAGCGGGGCTCAGCGGGGCTCGGCCAGGTGCCGGAGGGTGAAGGTGCGCCGCCCGCGGGCCGGCTCGTGGTCAGGCTCGCGGTCAGGCTCGTGGTCTGTGGGCGAAGCAGCCCTGCGAGCGGGACGAGAGGGCGCAGCTCCCAGACAGGGCGAGTGCGCACAGGCCGCAGGCTGGGGGCAGGGCAGGGGGCGGATAGGGCACACCCCGGAGTCTCAGGCCCCATGGGAGCCGGGCCTGCGGGGGTCCTTGGGGCTGGTGGGGAAGGTGGGGGCGCGGGAGGGGCCCTTTCAGAAGCCTGTCCCAGTACCTCGCCGGCGGGAGGAAGAGTGGGCTCAGCGTCGGCCGTCACCAGCGCAGGGTGCCCTGCTGTGTTCGGCACAGCCTCCTCGCTTGTGCTCCACCCCCTGGAGCTAGTCCCTCGTTCCCCGTCCCCCCCCCCCCCCCCCCCCCCCC